AGATACATTCTTTTAAATTTCTTTATGAATTACCACCTTTCTTCTTCAACACCCCATCAATTCCTGAAAACAACCATGGGGTAATAATCTTATTTGATGACACAGAAAAGGAGACTTAGAAAAATTAAATTCCTTTTATCAGATGTAGCCAAAGTGGAACCTGGATTCATATTCGTGCAGCACTAACCGGCTCAAGAGTGTCAGGCAGTTACATAAGGGAGTCTTGGGATCTCTCCTGGATTTAGTGGAGTTCCCCAGGTCACAGCCTGCCAGCTGGTTTTCCCCACGACATGAAGGCCACCTTCTTCAGCACGTCTTCAACCAGCCCCTACTTCAGGCCGATTGAGCTTGAGCTTCATGGACCATTGCCTGTCCCAGTGTTCTCACCTCTAATTCTTGGCAGGTCCCTGGGGCTGCCTGGGGTTTCCTGCCTGCCTTCTCTGCTGACCTTGTGAGATGCACTCCAATGTCTTGGCAGAGAAGCCCATCCTCTGCACACCTGTTTCTTACCTGTGGAAACCTGGACCTCCTTTGGCTTGGGAGTTTCCAGCTATGAATTTGTCTTCTGACTCCTTACTCAGTTGGATGTCAGGAGCCGAGTCCCGTCTGTGCCTTCCCTTACTGAACTCATCATTTTATACCAGGAAGTGCCCAAGGAAACACACTCTGGTATGAATGAAGTTGGTCTGCTTTTCATATTATTAAAATGCTTTAATCTGTAAGTGATTCTCACATTCCACCCTGCTGAGCAGGTCTACCGTACAGGATATGACCTGAGTGAATGTGGAAGGAGCTAGCCTGACCATGTAGGGAAGGCTGGGGGACAGGCAGGGAAAGCCACGGGCCTCAGTGAGGTTTCTGGCAAAGAGTTAAAACCCTTGCTAGAGAGATTATTGGAGGAAGCAGGCAGAACTGATCAGCAGCCTGACTCCCCTTGGTGCCGAGGTCCCAGCTCGCACCTCTGCATCTCCAGTTAAGTACAAAGAATACAAAGCACACCAAGTGGGGAAGGGGCTGCATTACAGAAAACTCAATGGTGAAATATGCGCTCACATCTGCACATATATATGCATATACATATATGTATATATACACATACGTATATATTCTCTCATCATGTTACCGCACTAAAATGTTTAGGTATCTCTTTACTGACTGCTAACTCAGCCTTGCATGTAAGACCTATCATATATGTTACTTTGTTAAGTGAAATTCTGTATCACTTACAATTTTTCTGATCGAATACTATTTTGTACTCTCTTTATAAAATAAAACAAATTAAAAAATTTTTTTAGAGATAGCACCTTGGCAGGACAAAGAGGGGCTAAATGAGCTTACCCAGGACTTTGCATGCCAGAGAGAGGAGGGAGCAGGAGGGAGGCAGCAAGAGAAAGAGAGAGAGAGACAGACAGACAGACAGACAGACAGACACACACACACACACA